CCGTTAGCGGGTGGGTGTGGCTGGGCTCCGGCCACTGGGGGCCGCCCTTGTTGGCGTGGATGTAGGTGGACATGTTGCCGCCCGTCATATACTCCGCCAGCAGCCAACACTGGCCGGCGCCCTGCAGAAGACGGGGCGCACACACAAATACACACACACACACACACACGTGTCAACAGACATTTTACACACACACACACACACACACAGATGAACACATCAAACATGCGCACACACGCACCAGTCACACACAAGAGCGGAGGATTGAAAATTGAGCAATTCAAGTCGTTAACTGTCTGTTTTGGGATGCTGACAGGCCAGTGAAATGCTTGCTAAACCGGCCTGAGAAAGCGGCGTTGCCATCAAACATGGTCATGGGCGCCACACCAGCACCTGAAGTGGTCGCCCCTCCGCAAAGCGCCGCGCTCCTGATTCCACTTGCACAACACAACCCGATGTCGCCCCTATTCCCCATCATTCGACCCACCTGCATTACCGCGCCGAGGAAGGGCACGATCCCCGGGTGCCGCAGCCCCGACAGGCACTCCACCTCTCGAAGAAACGACACCAGCTCTGTTTCAGAGGCAACCCTGACCCGCTTGACCGCCACATCTGCGCCCCGCCACCGCCCCCTGTGTGTCTCCCCAAACGCGCCCGCGCCGAGCAGCGGGCCGAGGGAGACCTCGCCCGGCGCGACGAGCCAGCCGCCTGCGCGCCCCTTGGCCGTGAGCGCGGAGACCTCGGCGGCCGCCGCGCCGGGCCAGTCGAGCGGGGGCGGCGGGTGGCCGGCGGCCGCGGCGGCGGCGTCCGGGGGCAGGCTGGAGAGGGCGGCGGCCTCGGCTTCTGCGTCGGCGTCGAGATTGTCATCTGGGGGGCGGCCTGCCCGCTGCTGCTGCTGCTGCTGCGCTTCCTGCTCTTGCTGCTGCTCCTGCTGCTGCTCTGCCTGCTGCTGCTGATGCTGCTGTTGCTGCTGCTTTTCTCCGACGCCGTCGCTCGCCGCGGCAGCACCTAGGGTGGCCGAGGGCATGGTAGGAATATGCACCTCCTCCAGCTGCCGTGAGGCAATTCTACACTGCTAATGGGTTTCTAAGCCAGCAAAAGAGCCCGTGGCAGCTTCACTGCAGCTTCGCTTCTCATCGCTGCGACGACGCCCATGGGGCAAGATCATGTGACCGCGAGCGAGGCGCCCATCCGCCCCCGCCCACTCACCCGCCTTCCGCCGCCGCTCCGCCGCCAGGCAGCGGCCCAGGTGCTGCGCGTGCCGCTGCCACGCATCGCGCTCGCGCCGGGTGCGCCGCAGCTCCGCCACGAGCGCCTGCGCCTCCCCATTCAGGTGGCGGTTGACGCGCGCCGCCGCGTCGAGCGCCACCTCCAAGTCTTCGAGCCTGGGGGTTTCGGGCGGTTGTGGATTTTTAAAGCGAGGACGAAGGGGGTGACAAGTCGCGCGGCAGAGGGGAGGCGGGACTATCGGTTCGGCGGGAGCAGGGTTGCGGTGGCTGCTGCTGCGCTCAAGGTTGGCAGCAGTTTGGGTGCGTGCACTCCCGTCCGACACCGCATATGGTCGGGTGCGGCGTAGCGCTGGCAGCCATGGGGGTTTCCACAGGATCGGGCTCCACAGCGTGAAGGCTGCGGCGGGCGCGGGGACGCGCAGTGCTGCTGCTGCGCACCGGGAAAGCATGGTGCGGGGCAAGACGTGCGGGCCTGCCCCGTCTTGGAGAGGTCGCACGCCTCCGTCCATGCCTATTTGGAGCTCCGAGGCCGCTGCAATAGGGCTGTGGTGTTTCCTTTGGTTGGTTTGTGCCTCGCAGGTGTATCGTTGAGCCGTGTAACTGTCAAAGATGGTTTAAGAACGCATCAACAAGCGTTAGCGCAGCCTGTTACCGTGCGCGGGGCGCGGGGCGGATTGCCTTGATTTTGTGTGCTTGGCAGGAAGCGTTCTCGACGCCACAATAAACATATTTGCGGCATACTCAGGAGCTTACACTGCCTGATGAAGCTTGGAATAGGAGGAAGTCGTGGTGCCGCCGACACCTGCTTGCGTAACTCCCGAGCAGGCGCCCCCGCCTGGCGGTATCGCAACGGGTGTTCATCCATCCAAGCAACACGATACACAAAGCAAGCGAGGCGAAGGGATCTGTATGCTTGCGTGTCTGACCCTACCCCCACGCACACCTTGCACATGGCATCAGTGCACCCCTCCTGTCACAGCTCAGCTCGAGCTGTCCAGCACTGCCGGGTCCGGACGGCCGGAACGGCCAACCCCATGCGTGCCCGCGCGCAGTGCACGCTGGCTGACCCCTATCGCGGATATTTGCATTGATTTTTCTGCCTTATAGCTGGAGTGGCCTTGCAAACTGATCCACACGACCACCATCAAGGCAAAAGACGACAAATAAACAGCCAGTAGTTTGCATTCGCACGCAGCACCTTGGGTTCTGATCCAGACACAAAACACGCACTGGGTTGGCCCAACCCGCTACGCTGTGCCTGGCAGAACCCTTCAGCAACTAATGCACCTGCACGTTGAGTGATGACTCCTGCCACATGTGAGGTGCACATCCCCTCCAACCCGCCCCAAAGTCTCCTGGAAACAAACACACTTCAACGAAAGCCAGTGCCGGCCCCCAGATGTAAGTCGCATCGACCCTGCAAAACCCCAACCCTCTCACAACAACCCCCACAGATGGGTCCGAGTCAATCACCGGCGCCTGGAGCGCACCGCAGACCCCAGCACTACCGCCGCCCCCGCCGCCAGCGCCGCGGCGCCCCACACGAGCAGGCGCCGCCCGCGGGCCCGCCGGCCGCCACGCGCCTCGCCCCCACTGTTCGCAGCTGCAGGGGCCTGCTCGGTCGCCGCCGAGGCCTCCTCCCGCACCTCAGGCACGTCAACTTGCGGCTGCTCCTCCTGCACCTCCTGCACCTCATGCACCTCCTGCACCTCATGCTGCGGCGCCACCCACGGCAGCTGCAGCGGCGCGTCGTGGCCGCGCGGCAGCCCCAGGGCCTGCCGCAGCATCCACGCCGGCGGCAGGGGCAGGCCGCGGCTCTCCCACCTGTAGGCCGCCGCGATGAACCCATAGGCCCTCCCCAAACCGGCCTCCAGCGCCGCCCGCCGCGCCTGCACCTGCGCCAGCGTGACCGCCTCCTCCGCGAGCCGCTGGTGGAGATAGGCGGCATCCATTACTGTCGTCCACGCCTCCGCGGCGCCCGCCAGCACCAGCGCCGCGCCGCCGGGGTCGACGCCCGCGTGCTGCAGCACCTGGCTGTCCTGCTGCAGCAGCCCCAGGATGCTGGCCTTGGCTGACTGGCAGAGCCCCAGCGCCACGGCGTCGCTGAGCCATGGGATGCAGCGCTCGTGGGCCAGCCTCCGCTGGCTCTCGTTCTGCTCCGCCGTCAGCCACTGCACGGCGCCGCCCCGCGGCAGCATGACGGCCTCGACGGCGCCCGCCAGCGGCCACAGGGCGCCGCCGTCGGCCCGGTCCATCATGAGGCGCAGGGCCTGGTGCGGCAGCCGGTCCGCCGCAAGCTGCCGCGCCGCGTGCTCCGCGGGCGTGGCCCCGGGCGCGACCCAGCCCGGCGCGAGCAGCAGCGCCAGGAGCTGCATGGCCGGCGCATGCTTTGGCGGCGGCGCCGCCGCCCCGCCCTTGGGCGCGGCGATGGGCTCAAACGCGGCGGTGACGGGCGCCAGCTGCGCCACAATCCCCGCCGCTTCGTACTGCCCGCCCTCCTCGCCCGCGGCGATGCGCCGCACCGCCTCCACATCCTGCCCCTCGCCGCGGAACAGCGCCCTGATCAGCTGCGCGGCGCTCCACACGGGGAGCGGCGCGTGGAACGCCTCAAAGGCCGCCTTGCCCGTGAGGTTGCTGTCGTCCTGCAGCGCCGAAAACAGGGCGAGGTCGGGCGCCGCGAGGCGGCGCCAGGCGGCCAGGACCTGCTCTAGGGCGGCGCCCGCCCCGGCCTCGTCGCCTGCGGCCTGGAGCGAGGCCACCTGGATGGCCGCGCTGGGCGCCCCCTGAACCAACACCTGGACCATCTGCTCGGGGGTGAGGCCGGGCTCGCCGGCCGGCTGCGCGCCCGCTGACCCCTGCTCCTGCTGCTGCTGCTGCTGCTGCTCCTGCTCCTGCTCCTGCTGCTGCTGCTGCTGCTGCTGCTGCTGCTGCTGCCGCTGCTGCTGCTGCTGCCGCCGCTGCTGCTGCTGCTCCTGCCCACTTGTCGCCTGGGAGGCCGGCGCCGCAGTGGGGTGCAGCCCGCCAGCGGGCCCCTCGCCGTCGGCCGCAGGCGTCCCCGGCCCCTCAGCGCTGCTGCCCGTGCTCGCACGGTGCAGCGCCGGGAGGGGCGGGCACGCCGACAGCTCGGGCCCCCAGGCGGCGGTGCCGGGCGCCTCCTTGCGGCAACCCCGAGCTGTGCCCCGGCCCGCGGCCGCCTTCGAGCCGCCGCTGCTGCAGCCACCCTCCGCGCCGCTCGCGGCGCCGGGGGCGTTGCCAGCAGGGCTCACGGCGCCGCATGCCTTGCGCGACCCAGTCCGCACGCCCCCAACCTTGACAGCCGCGCCGCCCGCGCGCACGCCGCTCTGGCCCCTCGAGGGCGCCGCCAGCAGCGCCGGCTTCGCCGCCGGGGGCGTCGGCGCCGCGGGGGTGGCGGCCGCCTCGTTGGCGTCGAATGGCGTCGGCAGGGACAGCGCGTGCGCCAGCCAGCCGTCCGCCAGGGCCCAGTCCTGCAGGGTTTGGGTTGGAGGGGCGAGGAATGGGGGTGGGGATTCCGAGGATGTGAGTTGGAGTGGCAGGAGGGGATGCTGGGGCCAACGGGCTATCAAGGTGTGGGTCCCATCATCACAAGCTGCGCCGGAATTTGTGGCCCCTCCTGGAGCAGCACACCTCGGCATTGCTGCCCGGTATGGTGTTGCGTAAGCAATCCAAGCTGCATCAGCAGTGGAGCCCGCTTTTTGGCTGAAACCCCCCCACAGCGACCTGTACCTGCCCGCCCACGCACCTGCACGGAAGGGTGGCTGTCGATCTTCTTGCTCAGGCTGCGCTGCGCCGCCTTCACAGCCCCCATGAGCGGCCTGCAGAAAGGAGGTGACACATGTCATGCGTCCGCAGATCAGGACAAGTCGGCGTCAAACGAGCCAAAGGTCAAGCGCACGGCAGACGGCTTTCAGCCTCGTATGGCCAGTAAGCAAGCCCTGAGGCGGCACATTAGCAACGTGGCCCAAGCACAGCACCTCAGCGACATCAGTGCTAGGGTTTGCTTGGGTGCTGCCGGCTCACCCGGTCGTGATGCCTCCGCTGGACAGCTCAGCCAGGCAGCCCTCAAAGCAGCCGCCGCTCCGCAGGTTGGACACGAGGTCGGACGCGGCCGTGAGGGGGGTGGTGTTGTCCAGGCTGAGGCCCTGCGGTTGAGAGGGGGGGCAGAGGGGCAAGGCAGCAGGGGAGGATTTGGTCAGAGAAGAGCAGAATGGTCGCTGGAGTTGGCAATTGAGTTGGATTGGAGACAGGAATGATTTTGCAATGGGAATGTGGGGCGTGCCGCAAGACACCAAACGTGCAAAATGTGGTTTGTGTGGCCCCATTTCAGCCATGCGGGTGGAGATAAGCACCTGTCACAGCGCATTCACGAGGAGCCACCTCTGGCCCTCACAACGGCGCGGCCCCTACGACAGCCCACCTGCCCCTCCAGCCGCTGCAGGGCGGCGCGCAGCGCGGCGTGGCACCCGTCTGTCTCACGACACGTCGTGCGGTGGGAGGCCGACAGCGACTTGAACACGCGCTGCAGCTTGGCGTTGTCCAGGGGGCGGCCCTTTCCCTGCTGGCGGCGGTTGTTGAGCACCAGGGCGCCGCGCAGGGTGTCGCACTCCCCCAGGACCATGGAGCCGGCGTCACCGGTGAGGCGCAGCAGGGAGCGGGCCTGCACACACTGGGCGCTCCGGATTACGGTGCCCTGGGGTGGGGGTGGGCGTTTGAGGGTGTGCATGAAACAGGGTGTTGATTGCGTGCGTGTGCGTGCGCGTGCGCGTGTGCTTGCGTGTGCGCGTGTGCGTGTGCGTGTGCGTTTGCGTGTGTGTGTGCATGTTGGGAGAGGGGAATGTGATGAGTCAGCTGACACATCTACGAGGCGTGTTCCAGATTGGGGCAGCAGCGTGGCGGCGGGTTGTTTCAAGTAATCGTGCGCCCCTTTGACAAAGCGCGAGCTGCAACTCAAAGCTTACCTGAAAGTGGGCCAGGAGTTTGGAAGGGGTGGTGCCGTTACTGGCAACCTGCAACGTGAGAGGCGGGGGCATCACAGAATCAGGCTGGGGTGGGTGCAGCAAGAAGAGATGCGCGACTTGCCACCTTGATTGGCCTGGAAAGCGTCCCCGTGCATGGCACCGCGCCAGCCGTCAATTTTTGCGGCATGTGTCTGAGCACGAGCAGCCCCACACATCAGCGAGTGCGCGACTGTTCACCTGCTCCCTTGCCTTCAGCAGGGCGGTGATCAGGGTGGGCCGCACGCCTTCGCCGTCGAAGGCGGCGCCCAGCAGGAGCCTTTTGAACTTCCGGATGCAGCCGCGCTTGGCGGCCTCGGGAGTCGTGCAGTCATCGCAGTCGTCCCTGACGGCGCCAGCCTACAAGCAAGCATTTTGAATGGTGGCACTTCAAGGTTGAGGGGTTGACGCTAGGAGTGAGATTGCAATTGAAGGAGTGGACAAGCTGGGGAGTCTCACAAAGGGCAGAAGAGCGTGCGTGTGCGGCCACGCGCGGAACAACAGCGAGCAGCACGCCGGTGGTGGATACGGGGCAATGGCGCTTTGAGACGGATGACAGGAGCAGCGCCCAGCTGGTCTGACATACCCCGTACGCGCAGACAGGATTGCTGCGGCCCACCAGCTGCACTGCCGCGCTTGCTGACACAATGACTGCTGCGCGGCCTCGCCTCCCAACCCTCCAGGAGCGGCAGCTCTATGGACTTCGGAGGGCACCCTCACCTTGGCCGCGTCCTTCCTCCTTGAAGCGTGCTCCAGTCGCTGCGCAAACACTATGCCCATGATGAGCTCGATCAGCGCCAGCAGTACGGAGACATCAACAGCGCCCGACGACGCCAGGCGGTCGGTGGCCAGTGCCACCGCCAGTGCAGCCTGCAGAGTGGCAGTGGGCAGCAGCGCCCCGCAGCCCACCACCGCCACCAGCAGCGCCATCAGGGCCTGTAAAGTCGTTTTGCAGGCGATGAGGCAGCGGAGTGGGTTCTGCGAGCTTGGTTGGGGCAGCTGCGACCGGGTCCACGGCTGCCCGACAAACACAGCGCGAGTCCAAAAAGGCTTCCTTTTACTCAGTATACTCCTGCATAAAAGCTCCACTGCCATCATTATGACCCGGGCACGCACCTTGACGAGGCCCGCGTTGGCGCTGTGGGCCCCCATGCGGGGCTCCAGCCATGTCATCATCGTGTAGTATCTTTTTACCAGCAGATCCGCCACGCTGTTGGGAACACGGCGGATACGGAAACGGGGTTGCGGGAGAACAGTGTTGCTTGGGAGCGGTCAGCTGCTCGTGCTCGTCAAAAGCACCAGCATGTATGCAATCAAAGTTGCTTACAATCAAGGCAGCGAGCAGGCCGGCACATACGAGGTGTGCCAAAACGCACGGGCAGGCAGGCGGGCGCCGCTGCAACCGCCGCATGGCTGCTTCACCATGATTGTGTGAACTGTGACACATGCCAGGGGCACTAGAGTGCCGCAGTGCAGGGGGACACCGCAGTGCCCGCCACAACGCCCACACACCCATGCCGCACACTGTGACGATGACCACCTTGCTGCCCCACACCCCCAAGACCACTGCGAAGCTCACCTGTGGGAACGGCCCACCATGCGCCCCGTCCCGCCATCTCAGCGATCGCACTGCGCCGCCTTGCTTGCAGCCGCCACGCCCGCCCCCACGCTCATTCCCACGCCTGTCCGCCAGTCGCAGCAGCGCCACCCAGCTGCTGTCCGTCCGTCTGACGCGAGGTGAGGGCTCGTACGAGCCCTGCGTGGCGCCGGCACGTCCTGGAGGCCGCCGCAGCAGGCGCCTGATCAAGAGCCTGCCCAAGTGTCAAAAGGGGCCATTGCAAAAGGGAGAAATGGTCGTCTCAAGGTGGACGACAGGGCATTTGATGTTGCACGTGCGACGACGGCGCAAGGTGAAGAGCCCCACATCGGGGCGCCAACACGCCTGGTGGTCCCCTGCACGTGCCCAGCTCGGCTGCCCACGTGCAGCACTGTGGCACCCCTGACCGGACACACCTGCTGCCCCTCAATCCAGGAACGTGACGGCCGTCGGCATTGCCGAGGTGCGCCAACGCGTGTGCCTGGTGCGATCGCTGCCTGCCCCAATCCCCACAGCCACATGCGGTGGCCCGTTAGGGGCGATCTGCCCATGAGCATGGATGTTGTTTCATTTGCATCATGGATGCGGTATCCCATGATGCGGCGAAGCCAGTCACGGGCATGCATGTGCGCCAGGCAGGGGGTGCGCCAGCCAGAGCCTCACCAACGGCTGCCTCGCCTTGGACCTTGCCATGGGGCGACGCAAGGAGTGCGCAGGGAAGTCTCGATCCATCGCCGCCGTTGCCACCCCCAGCAGGTTGCGCGTCGCCGCCTGCCACCATGCAGGGACGCGTGCGTGCCCGGGCGCAGCGTGCAGAGGAGTATGACTGCTCTGCCTGACAGGGCGCCATCCGCTGCACAGGAGGTGCTGGCCGTGGATGCTGATCATTGAACTTCTGAAGTGCGTTGCAGGAAGGTCTGTATCACAAAGACCGCGATCCAAGCGGGCATCGTATTGTCCGTGGCTCAGTGGCGCGAGATTCAGTGTGATCTGCAGCGGACACATGCTGTATGAACTCGCATCTGTACATTGATGGCATGATAGATTTGTTTATGAGATAACCTCGCTGCCTCTATCTCACCGCTCAACCCGCTGCGCTGCCATGCCGATTAGGACCAGCAGCTAGAGCTGATGGGAGGGAAAGGCAAGAGCTGCTGCGATGCAAGGATTGTGCGCCAGCATGTGCTCGCCTGCCGGGGCTTGGACGGGATTTGATTTAGTGTATGAAGCTTACTTTTCAAGGGTATTCGGCTGCTGCAGCCCTCTTGTACGCACTTGCGTGAAGCAGCGCCCGCTTTGTCTGTCTCCATCAAGGCAGCTGTGGATATGCACCTGGGGGGTTCCCTCAGTGTCTGCACTGGCAGCTTGAGGCAATGACGCACCCTAATTCCAAGGAGCTGCACACTGTGCTCGCCTGTGTCCGGGTGTCCCTTGCCTGTGGGCGGCTGCAAGCCTCCTCAACCCCTCCATTGGTTGTCGGTCCTCCGGTGCGCTGTTGCGCCGTTGTGGCCTGCCATCATGCATGCACGACTACGTCCGCCAAGGGTCTGCCAGACCCTTGGCTAGTGGGCGCAAACGCCTACGCTCCATCCTTGGTTGACATGCGCAGCATGGCCAGCAGCTGCCGCTTCAGGGCAAGTAAGAAGAGTTGCAACAGCACCGTCGTTGGATGCAGCTTCTGATTTTGTGCCCAGTGCTGAATGCGTGCCTTCACATCAAGGGCAGTAAGGACTCCTTGGACGGATGGATGTTACACGGCTCGCAAAAAGGCTCGTGTTTCGGTGTATTTCAGTTGTTGCAGCATCATGCAAGATGATCTTGCCCGAGGTATCGGGCAGAGGCAAGCCCATCTTTGGGGCGCCTGTGTCCTGGGCCCAAAGCTTGACCCGCGGCTCCGCCCCCCATGCTCCACCCCGCGCCCCGGCGGCTTGTCTGCCGCGCAGAACGAGAACAAGGCGCTGCGCGACGAGGTGTCGCGCCTGCGCGCCGCGCTCGGCGGCGCGGGCCTGCAGGCGCCCTTCAAGCTGCAGGCCGCGCCCGCCGCGGCGGCGGCGCTGGCGTCGTCGTCGTGAGCGTGGCGTCCGGGAGACAATAAGGGTGCTGCGCATCTTCTGGGGCGTAGCCGAGAAAGGTTTGTGGCCAGCGCACCGTGCTGCCTACAGCAAAACCTTGGCCAGCAAATGACGCCCTGATAGAGCATGAAAGGCAGGCCAGGGCAAGGTAGCCCAGACAACAGGCAAGCATCATTAGGCCCCGCCCAACATAATCCACACAAGCTCAGGGCGCATCAGCAGCGAATGGCAGGCCAGCTACGTGCGGCGGCCTCAGCCCTGCAGCTGCAGGCGGCGGCGAAGGGGGTGCTCGTGTGCACCTGGCGCCCAAGGACCAAGGGTGGCCCGTTCGCGGATCATAGACCCAAGCAGTGGGGCTGTTGCGGCTCAAAAGTGGTGACAGTGTGTGTTCAAAGGCTTCAGGCAGGGATCAACCAGCCAAAATCAGGGCTCAAACCCTGTTGTTTGCCGCGGAGACGTGATGCTCCTCAAAAACCATAAGTTCTGTGCAATGAGCAAATTCGTTCACAGCCAAGCTCAAAGGTGGCGTTTTGCCCGTGTGCGTGCGGGGGCGCAGGCAGGTGCACCAACCAGGGACGGGTGGGTGCAGCACGGCCACTACTGACAAAGTTCAATGCCTGCGTCTACGGTGTGCAGCGCCCTTGGCTGCACCCACTGGATTGGGGGCGCAATCTGCTGCATCGGGCGGGCTGGACTGTGGTCAATGGCCGTTCGCCGTCTGCATGCCCAGCAGGCGCACAAAGTCGACCCACAGCAGCGAACCTGCAGGCGGGCACGCGCGGGCGGCGGAGGCCGGGGCAGGGTGATGGATTAGGATGAGAATTGAGAACGTCAGCGAACGCGTCCCGGGGCTCCCCTCTGAAGCTGTCCAGGCTCAAGAGGAGATGTGCCCAGCCTCCGCGGCGCACTGGGCGGCCCCATGTTAGGCGGCTCAGGGCGAGTGGCGTTGGCTCTGTAACGAGGAACGACGTGGCGAGCAGCTGCCGCGCCTGGATTCCTGGCTGGGAGCTGCTGTCAGCGTATCATGTCAGTGTGTGTCAGGTGGCAACGTGCTGCTGTTCCATACCAGCTGCGACTGGCTGCTGTAGCACTGTCCAGGCATCAGAAGACTGCAGGCATGCAAGGGCACGTGTAGGGCGCATAACTCTGGCCAGCGCTCAACACCCAGCCTGAAGTGGGTGAGCGTAGGGAAGTCACAGAGGGGCGTGCCGCACCTATGAAGGTATTGGAGGTGCGGAAGACGAAGGACAGCGCAGCGCACAGCCGGTAGTTGCCCTTGAACCACTCCTCTATGCCGCGCTCCTCGATGAGGCCCGCCAGGATCTGCGGGCAAGGGACAGCGGATGCGATCGCCGGTGGGTGGAGAGGGGGAGGGCGTTACAAAGTGCAGTAGCGAGCGGTGATGGTGGTGCAGAGGAGGCGCGACGAGCGAGGGGCTTGGGGCAGGGGTGCCATGGCAAGTGCTTTCGGGGTCAGCCGGGCCCAGAGACGAGCGCATCAGCGCCTGTCACGCCGTTGACAGGGGCGATGGGTGTGGAGTGGTGATAGGAGCCCAAATTAATCAATTTGATCCTTGCGACTCTTAGCCTTCCGGCCGGCGGCGAGGTTTCGCCGCAACGTACGAAGCAGACAAGAACGAAGCGGGGCTGTCGAGGCAGCGCTCCGCCCTCAGCCTGCCGATCAAGAATTGGCTGCCGGGCGGCGGCCCGGCGGGCGGCACCCAAAACGTATGCCGCGCTGGCTTAAAGGTTTCCAGGCGGGGCCGCCCCAGCAGTGCGCATCCCTGTTTTTTCTTTCCTTCGCTTCCTTTTTCTGGGAACCTGCAGGGTGAAGCCGTTGCGGCCACAGCAGCGTGCCATGCGGGCGCACCTGATATCTAATGTTGGAAGAGGTGGCCATGTAGACCCCGTACGCCAGGCTGGTAGCAAACACGCTCTGCACGGCGGCAGGCGGGCGCGTCATCAGCGGGTCAGACGGTGCAGAGGGGCCCCGCCGCGCCGACTGCGGGGGGCCGCTGCGCTGGCAAGGCCGGATGGGCGCAGGCTCACTCCTTTCAGGGCGAGTAGGCAGTACGGGGCGGGCCGGAACGGACGCAGAGGCCTGTGAACGCACAGGGGCAAACAGCAGGCCCCGCAGCATGGGCAGGGCCGCGGCGCGGGGCGCGGGTGGCTGGAGGGTTGGGGCGCTCGCCTGCGGCTGGTTCAGTGGCACGAAGTCTGTGTCGATGAGTGTCCTGAGAATGATGAGGCTGTTAGTCACGACGACGCCCACCAGGCTGCGGAAGATGAGGGGGTGCGGTGCAACTTTGGTGAGGGCACGGTGAGCAGAGGCAGATTGAGAGGGAACTTGACGCCTGGGTTGGGGGGTGGGGTCGGGGGGTTGCGCAGACAGCCGGTCCCTTGAGTGCGTGGGGCAGCACAACCCGCAGCTGCGATGGACTCTCCCCAGCCGGGCGCACAGCCGCCTGCGCTGCAGCCCGCCGAGCGTTGAGCTTGACATGCGTTCGCGCCGTCCTCCACACCGCCATCACTCTCATAATGTGCTTCGCTACATCTCCCCTCGCTGCGGGGCCAACCCCTTGCCAACACTCCCTCCCTCAACCCCTTACCCCCAGCAACCTTGTCTGATTCCGCGCACATGGGAGGCATGCGAAGCTCGCACAGCGCGCGCCTGCGGCTGCCCACCTGGCGCCCAGCCCAACCCCAAAGAGCTTCAGCCCGTTGCGCAGCGGCGCCTTGAAGCGCTGCCCCAGGGAGAACGGCGCCATCCCCGGCTGCACGACCTGCGGTACGAAGGGGAACGGCGCGCGCGATGCAATGCTGCCGCCGACCCAGGCAGACAGGCCTCGGCCTGACACCAAAGACGGACACGATTTTGGCCCATTCAGGAGTGCCGATCAACAGGTGCACCCAGGAGTGCCATCCCAGCCCAACCTAAACGCGTATCACACGCCATTTATGGTTTAAAATTTTGAACGCAAAAAGAGCGCAAATCCACAAGCACCGCCCCACCTGGAACGCATTGTCTGGGACGCCTTCAAAAAAACGGCCGAAGGGGTCGAAGCGGGACGCCTGGTTTGGTCGACGCGGAGGGCAGCGGGGCGGCGTCGGTGCCCGCTGGCGGCCCAATGCGGCCCGCTGCGGCCCACTCCGCGATACACGAAGCACAGACGGCCTCGGATCCGGGCCGGACGAGCACATTCCGCGCCCCAAGACTCCGCCGCGGCACGCGCTCGTTCGGGGATGCGGCTGCCAGCAGCCGTGGCGCCGACGACGGGGCGCGCCGGCAGGCGCTGGGGAAGTGGGTGGCGGCGAGGGGCGCACCTGTCTCTGCGCGAGCGCGAGGGTGGGTGCTGGCAGCCAGACAAGCATGAAGTCTGCCAGGATGGCCATGAGAACGTTGGCCGCCACAAAATCCAGTTCCTGAGGGGTGGGATCCAGTGGGCATTATGGCAGGGTGTCGGTCAAAACGGTCAACAGTATGTTGTCCAAAGGAGACGGTTGAGAACGGGTGGGGAGGTAACAGGGCTGACTGTGTGGGCAGCAAGGTGGCCGCAGCGGGAGGAGGCTGGGTGTTGGGTTGCACTGGCATGGGGGCAAGCGTGAGTGATGCTTTCAGGGGAGGGCGACAATACTACTGGATTTGGATTTGGTGGAAGCTTGGGCCCCTGAGAGCTGCATTCTGGGTCGAAGCCCGGGAGGTTCGGCATCGGGGCTTTGTTGTCGGGGTTTAGTGGGTGGGGCCTTTGGGTGTTGCCACCGGGCTGCCAATGGCCATCAGATCAGTACTACACTTTTTCATTCAGGCGAAGCGATTTAGGTGCTGAGTGGGGGAACATTCTCAAGAGAGGGGGAGGAGCAAGGTGGTGCGACGACCAAGGGTTGCGGC